GCCTATCTATAGCCTTCAAAAAGTTGACGACTCTACACGTTTCGACGTTACAACGTGGTGATGTAATTCCCTGTGTGAAGACTGGCGATTATACTATTATGGTATACTTAAATTACTAAAGTATAAGGGTAGTTTTATTATTCATTCAAATTCAACAGCTAGGCCTAGACCTTATCATGACCGCCGGAACAATTGAGACTTACCTGGTGGATCGTACAACTCTATGATGAGAAACACATTCTGGTGTCTATCCAGTCGAATACTAGATGTAAACTGGATGATGCCTCTGTTTCCAAATGAATATCTACTGTGGGGAGTCTTCATGACATGTGCCTTCCGAAACCGTATCCTAATTTCTCTTGTCCTTGACAAATCTTCCACAATTTTCACCCCTCCAAGCTCCGTATAGAATATTTTTTTGATATATTCTTTGTAGAGCTTTCCAACGTTATTTGAGATGACCTGGAGAGACTCCTCGTCGCGAAGTTGAGCGACGTTCATATAAACTGCAAACTTATTATTCTTACAGTGTAAAGTTTCTACGCTGAAGCTAGATTTGAAAGTTTCCACGTGTGGTACTTCCCACGTTCCGTTAACGTACTTAAACCACCCTAGTTTTTTAAGATTGAATTCTTTAGAGAGATTTATCCCAATACTATGGTTTAGATAAATCTCTCCTCGGGGGTTCAAAATATACATCCCTTCCTTTAGACTGGTTGGTTGAAGGACTCCAAAGATTTCGAGTTCAAACTTGTCGAATCTCCGTTTGCCATTAGTTCCATCGACGGTGATGTATTTCACGGGAGTCTTCACACTATCTAAAGAGTGACTGTGGGGGCTTACCTTAAACTTAAGTTTGGTAGCAGGCACACCTAACTGAAGAGCGGTGTGTAATCCCAGATGTTGGTTCGGATATATCTGAATGTTACAGCACACTTCAGCATTGTCCAGTTTTTCTAACAGACATCCAGTGGATGCCTGCTCTGGAAGAGCTATTCTGTAGCACCAATGTGCCCCTCTAGTCGTCTGACAGAAGTTATCATCCTTAAAGCAGCTATTGTGACCACCTGGACAGTCACAGAAACAGGAATGGGTAATGTTGGCTGCGAGAAAGTTGTAATGATCAAGTACCGGGTATTCATTCCAAGCTTCCACTAATTCAACTTTGTAAAACATTTTATTCTGCTCCATCTGTTCGTATCCATGCGTTTCTTGAAAGTAAATTTTCTTTCCCTTCGTAATATCAATGATGTCTCTGGAATACAAAGATACTTGCGAATTGGTGACGTCACAACAAATAAGTATTCCACCTATAATGCATACTATCCTTCCGAGTGTTTTTTCTAGTGTTAACATAATGCAGCTTTTTCCTCGGCGAAAATACTTTTGTGATTTTAGTTCTACAAATAATTTTTAAATTTGAATCAAAAATTGAAAACGTTTTCTTAGGCTAACAATTTTTTTTTATTACCATAACTAATATTTCGCGTTTAAAACAATACTATACAAGCAAATTAAAGAACTCAATTTTTAGTTTGTTAGGGATGATCGCCGTGATTTACCTCATTGAATTACTTTCATCATAATCCCTACTCGTTGAAGTCATATGATCTTATCATCCGACCTAGGTTGCCAATGATATTAATATAAATAAATAACATGTAATAAAAAAAAACAAGATGAGAAAAACAAGATTTCGAATCCGTTATCAGTGCTTAGTGCAGACATCGCCAACTTCACGGCACATTTGAATAGATAATATTGTTATCATTAATGGTGGTTATTGTTCATCAGTTGAGAATATAACCATGCTAAGTTTGTATTTATTAAAACATATAAATAACAGAAGAATAACAATAAGCCAAGCTCAAGAAAGAAAAAAAAAACTGTACTTATCTATTGCACCTCAGATTTTGAATCCGCAATGAAAGGAATGTAGGGAAAATATTTACAATTAGCGTGAATGTTATCCAACATTTTAAGCCTACTGGTGGCTAATGCTTCGCCACCTTTTGGCATTTAACCGATAACTTTTCTCTATTTTTTATTTATTAGGTTTTTCGATTTCGCATTTAAAATTAGCTATTAAGCCAAGTTTTTGTTTTTCTTACTAAAAATCGCAATGAATCAATTTAAAAAGTAAAATAAACAATATTTAGATATACAAAGTACACTGTTTTGTTTTGTTAAGTACAAAGCTATACAAATAGTATCGAAATATGATTTTTAGCGTTATAAGCCCCCAGGCTTACAGCTGAGCCATCGGAAGACAAACTACACTGAAAAGGTGTGTTTAGGCTGTTCTACCGTTAGCAAGGTCCTCGTGCTTGGCTTTAATCTTTTTTTTTGTAAAAATGACACCTATCAATTTTGACATTTTAAATTATTTACCTTCTACATCTAACTCCAGAAAGTATGTTCTTTTTCAAGCTTGCTAAAAGAGCTGAACATTCAGGTACCTAGTACCTAAAGAGAAATAAAAACAACATTTTTGAAAAAAAAAATGAATATAAATAGCGTTGTTACTAAATTATGTTTTGCTACTAGTGTAATACAAAAGTAATTGTTTGTAACCTGGAATAAATCTATTTATTTTACTAACATTTCGGCTTACGCTTTCTTTCGAGTAAAAAGTTTTAAATCAATACATCTCCTAATAAGAAGTTTCCAAAAAGGCTTTCTCTAATAAAGAGTTCGTTTTCTGTGATTCCGGAGTCGAGAATTTTAAACTATTCAAGAAATATGGATGGTTGTTATTTTAATTATGCAATCGGCTACAAGACTCAGCTGGAGTAGTTAACATATATCCACTTCTAGCTGAAATTACCATGTACTCGTGTGTGCGTTTTTGTAGATGACGTGTAGTTTTACCAATATAAGGTAGCTCTACTTCTACCACAAGTGTATTTATTTACTTATGATCCACGAGCTCTAAGGGATGGGTTTTAGTATTCAAGCCTACGTTTGAAATTCCAAACTTGTTTAAAAATAAAGACATTATACCCATCTCTATGCGTTCCACTTTCAGTGATCGCTAAACACTAAGTTACAACAATGTAATTTTGAACGCAGTTTTATTCTACGAACAAGCGTAAACTTATCAGTGTAACAACAAAAACAATATTTGAGATGAATGGTAGAACCAATGGTCTTTCTGAATGGGAACATCACGTTCAATTTGCACGTGTGCTAGGACTCGCCAATTGTTGTGCATAGCAGGAAACGAGCGGTCATTAATTCTTTGACGTTTGTTTGTATTGAATTCGCGCAAAGCTACACGAGGGCTATCTGCGCTAGCCGTCCCTAATTTAGCAGTGTAAGACTAAAGGGAAGGCAGCTAGTCATCACCACCCACCGCCAACTCTTGGACTACTCTTTTACCAACGAATAGTGGGATTGACCGTCACATTATAACGCCCCCACGGCTGAAAGGGCGAGCATGTTTGGTGTGACGGGGATTCGAACTCGCGACCCTCAGATTGCGAGTCGAGCGCCGTAACCACCTGGCCATGCCGGGCCGAATTCTTTGACGTAAACTTCGGATAGTAGAGCCGATGGAGACTTTTAAGCATACAAATTAATAACAATACGGTATTAATATGAACGGTTTTAAGATTGGGTTTTATATAATCAAAAATTTTAATGTTAGTTAAGAAAGAAAATTACCTCAAGTCTCTTGGTAGTGTTACTGTCTTGGTCGTTAAACAAAAATAAATTAATCATTCCACCAAACTAGGTGAGGATAAATTAAATCTCAACTCAGTTCTCTCAGATGTATTTAAAACTTAAGATGAGGAGGGTAAAGTTAATTACGAATCTATTTTCTTTATACAACTTGTAAGGATTGGGCGTAGCTGGACAATGTCTCCGATATTTTATGGTTCGCGATCTTTTCCCCCAAAACACGCTCTGTTCTTTGGGTCGTAGATGAACTATAAGAACGCCGGCAAAATCCCGTATCCTGTCAGAAGAGAATAATCCAGGAGTTAGCAACAGGCGCTGTTGAGTATCTGCCTTCCTTCTGATCTATCAGTTCAGTATCAGGGAATGCTATACACAGATTTCCCTCGTATAGTTTTGAGCGAATTTGTGAAACAAACAAACAAACAACGCAGCTCATAAAAACTCACGTTTTGTTTCTTAAGCAGCAGAGGAAGAGAGGCTAAAATAATGACCAGATTATTTAAATAAGTGGTTCGGACTTTACTCCTTAAACAAAAGAAGTGGATGTTGTTGTTGTAGTCCAGATTATCTTTCACAAGTGATTTGGACTTTACTCCTTAAACACAAGAAGAGGATGTTATTGTTGTTGTAGTCCAGATAATCTTTCACAAGTGATTTGGACTTTACTCCTTAAACAGAAGAAGAGGATGTAGTTATTATTTTAGCTCAAAGCTACACAATAGGCTATCTGCGTTCTGTCCACCACAGGGAATCTAACACCAGATTTTTGAATGACAGTTCCGTAAATTTACCGCTGGCCCACTGAGTGACCAAGAAGTGAAAAGGTTAAAGTTCAAAATTATAACGTCGTATTTCTGGCTGTAAGTATAGGATAATTCTTGTTTTCTGAAATTGACAGCTATTTCTATTTTATTTTTTTCTTGCTCTACAAGAGGTCTGTAAACTGTGCTGCTCGTGATAGCGATAATTCATCCACTTGTCCTAACGGTTAGATATAATTCAATCTAACAGGACTTTTTGAATTTAAATCATGTAATACGATAGAGAATGGAACGATCTCATCACCGTGGTTCTTTCATATCAACTATTGTATTGATATTACACGATTACAAAGTTTAGTATTATTTCTTCTAGATAAACAAACAGAAAGATAAATACCACGAGTCAGATATAACCTTCACTATCTTATTTTTTGGCAGATCCACATTTAACAGTTGTGGAGCAGACCGACTGTAGACGGTTATCATTATCCAAGCACGTAAACGTGGTGCTCATTTTACCCCCATAGCAACAGTTAACACAGGAATGGACAACGAATGTTTTATCTATTTATTTTAATTTATTGTATGAGGCAGATATATATTTACTGCTTAGCAGTAACTTGTTATCAAAGGTTATTCCTGCAGTAAATGAAGAATAAACATGATCTCCGCAGCAACATGTGACAGTCGTGCAGCAGACCCACATGTGATAGTGGTGGAGTAGACCAACATGTGACAGTCGTGCAGCAGACCCACATGTGATAGTGGTGGAGGAGACCCACAAGTGACAGTTGTGTACCAGACCCACGGATAACAGTCGAGGAGCAGACTCACATTTATAGTCATGTAGCAAACAGACCAACAAATGACAGTCGTGTAGCAGACCCACATGTGATAGTCGTGTAGCAGACCCACATGTGATGGTCGTGGAGTAGACCAACAAGTGACAGTCGTGCAGCAGACCCGCATGTGATAGTCATGGAGTAGACCAACATGTGACAGTCGTGCAGCAGACCCACATGTGATAGTCATGGAGTAGACCAACATGTGACAGTCGTGCAGCAGACCCACATGTGATAGTGGTGGAGAGACCCACAAGTGATAGTTGTTTAACAGACCCACGGATAACAGTCGTGTAGCAGACCCACATGTGATAGTCATGGAGTAAACCAACATGTGATAGTCATGGAGTAGACCAACAAGTGACAGTCGGGGAGTAGACCAACATGTGATAGTCGGGCAGTAGACCAACATGTGATAGTCATGGAGTAGACCAACAAGTGACAGTCTGGCAGTAGACCAACATGTGTGTGATAGTCATGGAGTAGACCAACATAGACAGTCATGGAGTAGACCAACATGTGATAGTCATGGAGTAGACCAACAAGTGATAGTCATGGAGTAGACCAACAAGTGACAGTCGGCAGTAGACCAACATGTGATAGTCATGGAGTAGACCAACATGTGACAGTCGGGCAGTAGACCAACATGTGATAGTCATGGAGTAGACCAACAAGTGACAATCATGGAGTAGACCAACATGTGATAGTCATGGAGTAGACCAACATGTGATAGTCGGGCAGTAGACCAACATGTTATAGTCATGGAGTAGACCAGCATGTGACAGTCGGGCAGTGGACCAACATGTGATAGTCGTGGAGTAGACCAACAAGCTACAGTCATGGAGTAGACCAATATGTGATAGTCATGGAGTAGACCAACATGTGATAGTCGTGGAGTAGACCAACAAGCTACAGTCATGGAGTAGACCAATATGTGATAGTCATGGAGTAGACCAACAAGTGACAGTCATGGAGTAGACCAACAAGTGACAGTCGGGCAGCAGACCAACATGTGATAGTCATGGAGTAGACCAACATGTGACAGTCGTGCAGTAGACCAACATGTGATAGTCATGGAGTAGACCAACATGTGATAGTCGGGCAGTAGACCAACATGTGATAG